GGCAGGGCAGGTGTTCTTTTGCTTTGTTGTGGGTTTTGGGGGTTTTTTTTTAACTTTTTTTGTTGTTGTTTCTTGGAGCATGACTTCTCTGAAAAAATAATTCCTTGAGCCATCCATAGTACAAGATTAATTTTGCTCAAAATGAAGACAAAAAGAAAAACTGCCTAGTTCCCGCAAACTCTACATTCCTTGAACTGCTATCTGTCCCTTGCCCAAGAATTTTTTAAGATTTTTGGGTGGTAGGGGGATGAGTGCCCTTTTGTGACTTTGCCACCTCTTAATTTTTTAGCTAAAGTTACAAATTAATTTAGATTTTTCCCTCCCTCTCATCTCCCTTTTTAAGTTTTCCAACATTTGGAACTATTTCCCTTTCATACATATGTATATTTACTTTCTTTTTCTGAGCTGGTGGGTTTTGTTCTGTCTTCCTTCTGTGCTTCTCCAAACTTTCACTCCTTTTATTTCCTTCACTGTTTATTCCCCTGAACTGCTTTCTGTCTTTCTGATCCCTTTCAGTAAATGTTAGCTGTCTAGCAAATCAAAGCCAACTGCAAATAGGCTTGCAGCTGTTGTAAAGAAATATAACTTCACTTGAAGGAATTGGTAGAAACACTGCCAACCACCCAAGCTAAATCGAAGTCTGAGATGGTGGTCGGATGGACTTTTCACCAGAGCAAAAAGAAAGAAAGAGTCCTGCCATTTGGGTTATTAATGTACTATTTTTTACTAATTTAGAACTGCTGCATACATATTTATGCTGTCTGTGAGGGTTATGGAAAGAAAATCTATGTTTCATAGCATGCAGGACCCATGTGCCAAGCACATGGCCAAATTTTACCTCCTTGTATTAATCTAGACTTTTTTGCCAAGACCTAATAACACTTGGCATGACATCAACCCTTGCTTAGGGGTAATAAAACCAAGAAAGCAGTAACTAGGATAGTATTTTTAGGAAAACACTGAAAATGGAGGGCTCTCTCTTATGAAACTCAGGAGGTTTTTATGAAATTTTCTTTGACAACAGAAAAACAGTTCTGGTTTGTTAGATTTATGAAGCTGATGCTATGAGACATCCCTTGAAGGCTTCCCTTTTTGGCCAGGAAAAGGCTGATGGACTGTGCAGTGAAAGAGTTAGGGGCCTTATTAATTATAATATCTTGTTGGAGTACCTCTGTTTATCATAACTGTAGAACTGGCAACCATCTAATTTCATACTGGCCTGTTTTTAAGACATGGTTTGTTGTCATTTTCAGTGTTCTCTGTTTCTCTGAAAAATGCAAATGTAAAATAATTAATATGAATGCTTAATTTTTCCAGCAGTTGCCCCTGCATATGTATTCTCCTAAAAATTGCAAAATGGAAAGCTGCAAGATTTTACAGCTTCTGATGCGTATGCAAGTAACCTAATGAATTTGTGGTTTAGTTAGAAAATGGAGATATTTAAGCATATATTTGGAACACACTTTGCAGAATAAAGTTCTCCTGTTTGTTATTTTTGAAGTATGAAGTCCTCAACATAAAGAATGGATTCCTTAGACTGTACTTTATTATCTCTTAAAAACTACAGAAAATGTATTACCTTAAAGATTTAACTGCCTTCTGCTCTAGCCTTTTCCCAGTTCTGAAATAAAGAATGGGTGAAGTTGTGAGGTGGTAAGCAAGTGTTGAACCCCGCATTAGTATTGTGCATCGTACAAGTTTCTCAGCTATCCTGATTTTCACTGAACTTAAGCAGCCCAAGGTTGGGAACCTGCTGTTGGAAGTGCAGCTACCAAATGAAGTGTCTGTTTGGAAAGGGGAAAAAAATTTTTCTAGAAGTATGAATGGGTATTTTGCTATTTGCATATTGAAAGACAGGGCCAAAGGGTGTTATCTTCTAGGATGCTGAGTTCTGTGATATTCTCAGTAATAGGAAATTATATGAGTCTACTTTGAGTCTAGTTTAAGCCTACAGAGTGTTTGGGTTCTGCTTTTGGGATCATTTTGTTTAATGCAGGAGTTCACAAAAAGCCAGGTATTGAGTTCAGTTGGATGTGATATACATGCCACTGAAAAGTGATGTGTATCTTTAGCTCTCTTGCTCTCTGATCTTTCGTAGTGATGATGAAAGCAAAAGACATTTTCTAACGATTCATGGCGGCTGCTTTGTATTATCAGTTCCAGCAGTCAGTCGTCAGATCTGTGATACACACGGTGCTGAGATTGCCAATGCTATAGGTGAACACGTGCAGTACACTTTTTCTTTTTCCCCCCACAGTGTTTCCCAACAGTACGGGTTTTTTGCGTGTACTGCACGCTAAGGATAACAGTTTTGGGGGTGGTTTACTTTAGTTTTTCAGCGACTTTATGTTGTGACTGAATAGTCTGGGGATAGTTATATTGCAGGTTAACCTTCCTAAAACCATTCCT